GTCAAAAATTGCTACATGGACTTCAGCTGTATTCAACTAGACTAAGATGTAAAGCAGGGTTGACTGTATTTTATTGATTACATATTAGAGAATAGCTGTTCATTTTCACATAAATCAAATAATGTGTCAGTTATCGCAGGAAACTGAACAATTAAATTGAGCGTTATTTCCGTTGAAACCCTCCAGTGGGACAGCAGGTTATTACAGTTCACTTAACGTAATATAGCGTAATGTTCTGACTGCAACTTCATACCTCTATGCGCGCGCACACACACACACACACACACACACACACACACACACACACACACACACACACACACACACACACACACACACACACACACACACACACACACACACACACACACACACACACACACACACACACACACGCACGATTGGTGTTGGATAGGACCCGAACATGGACACACACGCACAGCAGTTTCAGGTTCCTTCTTCTCTGGTTTCCCTGTATGGAAAGAGAGGGGCTGTGACCCTGAGACTGAGAGAGGAACCTGGCTCTGCAGGAACAAAGTTTGTCTGATCTTCCTCTCCTCTCTCAGCGGTCTGGCCACCACACTGCATTATGGGTAAGCTCTGAAGATGCCGAGCTAGGATGCTTTTGCCCCTAAAAAACATGTTGAAGGAACGTTGAAGCCTTTCCTTAAACTGCTGACCGGCAGTCTATTCACCAGCAGTCACATGAGAAATGACATATAACACACCAAATCTTCATGGATATTCAGTCTTTCAGTTTAACAAATTTTTTATGTGAACCGTGTGAGGTTTATTCCAGGCTTTTAATTTAAATTGTATACTGTATCTGCCTATGGACGTTTACTTGTATGACACCAAATACCAATAGGATGTTATTTAAAGGAACAGCTCCGAATCCGCTTACATTGAATACTACTCGTGTGAAATTGACACCTTGTTTAGAGCAATGGGTAAAATCAAACAAAATGTATAGGTCTCTAATGAAGGGGATATTACCAATTCATGTACATTTAATTTGTGCCTCCCTATTTGAGTTCTTAATTTCATGCATTTCATCTAACATGGAAGCTTCTGTGTTTAACTTTATATTTACTGCAACTTTGCAGAGACCAAAAATGGCGTTGTGTGATTACGATTTACTGCAGAATGTTTTTTTGAAGCTTGCCATCACATGATTTGGGTTTCTAATACCATAACACTTTGTTTCTTTGAGTTGGCGGCGAGTCTGACAAAGCAGAGAAAAAACCTGCTCAGCCCCCCACCAGCAGAAAATGTTTAAATAAACAGGAGGGGGCATTCATTTTGCCCAAGAGTTCTTTGTTAATAAATCCCTTGTTATTCTCACATGGTCAGAAATGTAAAATAATGAAAGGAGCCATTGTTGGTTTAATTCAGAACAGATTTTAAAGGTGTGTTCCATACAGTGTTCATCCAGAGTCCTACTTATGAAGGCTCAAGCATATTTACAGAACATAGAGATATATACAGTCTTTATATAGAAAACAAAAACTACTACCAAAAATAATCATCTTTTTTATAGCAGCAAAAAAAGAAGAACCTAAAAGAGAAATATGTATATTTACATCTTTTTTTAAAATAACAAGGCATATTATATATACTGTAGTACACTGCGTATACTTTCCCATTCTTCTTGATTTAATCTCTGTGAGGATCAACGTATATAGGCATCTATCTCCTCTGTCCTTAACACACAGTTTACCGGAGGCAGAACCACACACACACACACACACACACACACACACACACACACACACACACACACACACACACACACACACACACACACACACACACACACACACACACACACACACACACACACACACACAC